CACTTGAAATGCCTTCAAATGTTGAGACTGAGGACTTGGGAGCACCATTTTGAAGTTCATCTGGGGAACAGTGTAGAGCTAAGGGGTCAAGTTCTTGTGTGGTATATTAGTCTCCGGTGTCCACAACTAGAGGGATAAAAAAAAAAGTAAGGAAGATAGAAAAAAAAAGAAGGTGGTAGTAGGAAAGCTGGGGGAAGGAGGAGGTAGAGTTGAGTTTACTCCTTCTTCCTCTCCTCCTCTTGAGGACAAAGCTAGGAAGCTAAGTGAGGGAGAAGGAAGCTAGTTCTGTGCATACACCAAATCTCCTGGCCACCTGACCTTGGATTCATCAGACCCCGGGAAACCCAGAAGATGAACCCATGGATTTATTGTGATGAGCTAGCCTAGGATGGCGAGGGGCAGGAGTGTGACAGGGCAAGGCCTCTGGGCACACCTGTGTTTCTCTGTCCCAAGGCAGGACCCATTGGTGGCCTACAAGTGTGTCCTGGATCGCTTTTAGTTGAAACCACTGCCTTGGGGGTTCCAGGGTTCCTAGAGAGGGAAGTGTCTCAGAAATTCTGGGGGAAATGTGGACCAAGGCTCGTTTGCTCTCAGCCTCGTTGGAGTGAAGAAGCTAGACCCGGGTGTCTTAGGGGACAGGGCATTGTGTGAGGGTGCGGTGATGTGAGTGAAGGGCCACCACATTAGGACACCAACCTCCCTGAGGCGGCAGACAAAGGAAGGTGGAGGTGCTATGGGCCGAAGGCCAAAGGAGCTGTGGGTGTTGGGGCCAGACACGCCAGGGCCTTGGAGCCCACTACAGGTTTTGGTAGGTGCCCAAGACACTGTGGGTGGGCAGGACGCACCTATCTGTGAGCTTGTGGACTTTGATCTTCACATCATGACCAGTACCAAGGTCCTGGGGGCCAGAACCCCCAGGGAGAGGAGCACCATGGCCAGGCAGGGCGCACAGGGCCATTTGTGGCCGTGACCGATTGTCAGGGCATTCCACGGGGCTCTATAAAAGGCAGTGGGGACAGCTGGGCTTCATCCATTGTGCAGGAAGCTCTTGGTGGTGACCTGTCGGACTCCCAGCTAGTTAGTGCGTTTGATGGTGGTTGGCGGTTCTGGTTTGTGTCTTGGTTCTTTGATTTGGGGTGTTGTTGTGTTGTTTTGTTGTTTTAGTCTTGCTTTGTTTGTTGGTTTTGTTTGTTGTGTTGTTTTAAGGTAGCGTCCTCGGGTGGCGTGGCCGCTCCTAATGCCTAGAGAGAGTAGAGAGAGTCAGAGTAGGGCGCCCAGGAGCCCCCAGCGGGGCCTGGAGGCCAGCTCGTCCTCGGAGGATGCCCTGACGGGCCAGTACGAGGTGCTGAGGTGCATCGGGCAGGGCGCCGTTGGCACTGTGAGGCTGGCCCGCCACATCCTGACGGGGGTGGAGGTGGCGGTGAAAACCGTGCACAAGCGCAAGCTGGACCCGGCCTCCCTTCGGGCCGAGGTGGCCATCATGAAGGCCGTGGAACACCCCAGCGTGGTGCAGCTGTTCCAGGTGATGGAGACGGCTGACCGCGTGTACCTGGTCATGGAGTACGCTGGTCGGGGCGACCTGCTGCAGTACATCCCACAGGGGGTGGGCCTGCCGGAGCGGGAGGTGCGGGGACTGTTCGATCAGGTGGCCAGCGCCCTGCGCACGTGCCATGCTAAGGGCATCGTGCACAGGGACGTGAAGGCGGAGAACATCCTGCTGGACGCGCGAGGCCGCATCAAGCTGTGCGACTTCGGCCTGAGCGGCCAGTTCAGGCGGGGAGAGCTGCTGCACACGGTGTGCGGCACCATCACCTACTGGGCCCCGGAGATGTTCCTCCCGCAGCCGTACCACGGCCCCCAGGTGGACGTGTGGAGCCTGGGTGTCCTCCTCTAACTGATGTTGACGGGGCACCTGCCCTTTGAAGGGGACACCCTCCAGGAGCTGAGGGACCAGGTGCTGCACCGCTCCTGCGTCTTACCGGACCACGTGTCCTTCAATGCTCAGGACCTGGTGGCGGAGATGCTGACCGTGGACACCATGGAGAGGTCCAGCATGGCCGAAGTCGCGAAGCACCAGTGGCTGAAATGGGGTCAGTGGCCTTTTGAGATTGCTGCCAGGAGGTCCCGCCGCCGCTTCTGCCCAGATCCCTCCACAGTGAAGGTCATGCTTGACCTGGGTTTTGACCTCACTGACACCTGGACGTCCCTGAAGGGCCGAAAATTTGACGCAGCTATGGCTACCTATCTCCTGCTCAGGCACCAGCACACGCAGGGGGTGGGCCTCCCGGTCCAGAGGAGGTCTGTGCACTCGGGGCTCCCGCCCAGGTCCTCTGCGGGTTCTCTCCCAGCCACCCTGCCCCGCCAGAGGAGCGCCAGCAAGCCCACCTCTCCCTCCAGGC